TTATTATTATTATTATTATTATTATTATTATTATTATTATTATTATTTCAATCTAGAACTCACTGGTTCAGGACCAGTTCTTCTAGGGAATGTTTCCCAGGCCCCAGGCTTCATATTTCTCAGTGTTGAACAAGGCAGCCATATGGTGGTTTTGGCTTCTTGACCATTCTGCCTCTGTGTCTGCATGGTACCTCAAAAAGCACTCTGGCCGTAGAAACCCTCACATGTTCACAAAACGTTCTTTGTTTGTGTGTGAGAACCCAGGCAGTTCTGTCAGCATACAGAAAAAAACAAAACAAAACCCTACCTACGTTCTGAAGGAAAAGCGGTTCTCCTCCCCAGGGAGACAACATTGTTAGGTGGCTTAAGACCACTTCAGCACCGGCAGAGCATGCGGGTGGCCTGCACGCCACCGTTGGGAGAGCTACCTTATACCTTAGCCTAGGAAGAGCATGCGCAAAGGAGCAGGGTGGGAGGCCGTCTCCTGGAGCTGCAGCTGCCTTACCAGTATGCCACAAAGGATAAGATGAGACTTTGTGGTCAGGAGTTGGAGAACTTGGATTGAGGCAGACATTTGGAGATGCCAAGCCAAAGGAAGTTGTGGCCCACAACTCGGTAGCCATCTTTGTTGGTCTGCGTGGGTGGACGCGCTGACCAGTCTTCTCCCGAGGACATAATGGCATCTCTCCGTGCTTTCTTCGTCTCTGGTTGAGTGGTTGTTTCCAACGAAGATAAGAGCAGCTCAGTTCTCCGGGGCCTGCTGACAAGCTTCAGTCCTCAAGTCCCGACTTGTCTGCTTGCAGACCTAAACCTGTTCATTTGGACTTGTAATTAAGCGTCTCTTACAAGTTATGCATAGTAATTTCAGGCATCTTAATTATCAGTGTAATAATCAGGAGGTTTCTGTGTTTTATGGTTCAAGTCAGTGCCAGTTTCCTTGCTTTTAGCTACATAATAAGTTCTCTTAGAGGAGCGCAGTGCACTGTGTGGCCTGCTTTAACGGTTAAATAGCCAGGATGTGATGACGTTTTTATTTGCAACTTTTTATTAATAAATTTTAAAATAAGCAAGAAGAATGATAATGATAGACCATATGTGATGGTGGACTTCAGTAGAGGCGAGACCTGAACCTGTGACTGACTCCAGAGACTGTGTTCTCAGCTCCGTGACTGAAGTGTTTACGTTTGATAGGCGAAGAATTTATTTAGTTATAAAGTTGGAAGCCTGTGCTGAAATGGGTTAGGTTTGGAATTTTGCTTAAAGTGCTCTCAGCCATGTAACTGAGGGTGCTCTGCAGTATATTGACTCAAGCGAGATTCAGGGACTGGCTGAGGGCTGTCTAAATTCCCTTTCTGCCCCTTGACATTGTTTTCCTCTGTATCTTGACTTTATTTTTGCTAACAGCCTCTGATTTACATCTCTGGATCTGAGAAGCCCAAAGAGAGATGGGCCTTTTTCCACCCACATTTCATATAGCAAGTACAAAGACACCTCTAGCACATGTCACCGCGAGTCAGTCACTGTGGCCTGGGAGATTCTGAACTTTGACCTGCTCAGCCACACACACACACCTGTAGTGGGTGACCAGGATCACAGAGGGACAGTGTGCTTCTCAGGGAAAAACACCTGAAGGAAAGGAAGAAATGCTAGTTAGCAGAAGTCACTCGTGTCTGTGCTAAATACCAAGACATGAAGCCTAAACACTAAACATGAAATAGAGGTTTTATAATTGGCTTATGTGTAGAGGACTCCATGACTTATGACCTACTGCTCTGTGTTTACTGTGATCTTAGCCATCCCAGCCACCACAGTGACGCCTCCCTAGTTCTGGCTTCTGAATAGATCAAACTGAAATGACTGTCCAAGGAAAGCGCATTGCTAATTCACTCAAGGTCCAACTGAACAGGTCTCATTTATGTGGGCTTGTCTCAGGAATCATATGATTTCAACCAGGCCAGAAGGAAACCAGGAGAAATGGTTTGGGTACTCCAGTGTCAGCAGAAAATAAGGAGGTACAGAGATTTGAAAAGTAACCACAGGCTAAAGACGGTGAGTCTGGGAGAGACTGAGAAAATTCATGAGTAAAGGCTTATGTTGAGGGACACACCTGATACATTGTGGGTGCCGTTCCCCAGCGTCTTCCTGTATGGCGGTGTGCAGGTAAGCAGCCTGCCTTACCTCCCTGCCCAGCCTGCTGGTTCCTGCTGTGCAGGGAAACCTCTTCACAGACCCAAATTGCCTCTTTTCTCATAGTATGCCTACAGGCTATGTCTGACTGCAAATGTCTTTGATAACATAAACAATAAAAATGCTTAAATTAGGCACTTGTCTGATTAAAGTGATGTTTTGCCACTATTTTAAACCATGGTGATATGAGCTACTAGATTTTTCCCTCTTCTTGATTTATAGCCAGTTTGCTGAGTTCATTAAAAAAAATCCCCTAAATCTCTAGATCTTTATGTTCCATGTGGGTGAAAACAGATCCAGCAGAAGAGCAGAGAGAAGCTTTATTTAAAACAATAACCTTAGAATCATCATAGCTGTGAATATATTTGAGGAAAACCTGATAATTTTATTCATCCTGATCATTAGAATTTCAATGTTGCTCAGAAAAACATAGGAACCATGATATCATAAAAATGTTTTCAGTTTGCAAGTGGCAATTAGATTCCACAAACGAAGCCACAGTTGATACACCCCTCGGCCCCCAGTCTTAAACTAGGTAGAAAACCTCAATGACAGAGCTTGCTGTGGGATTTCTGAGAGTCGTGTCCATTCTCCTTGTAAATACCGGGCGGTGGATGTCTGGTCAGTGTTCAGATGTGAGAAGGAGTATCTCTGCAGTCATCCGGGCTGATGACTTCAGAGTAGTATCCCAGCTTCCTGACATTGCACGCTGGCTCTCGGGCCTGGCAAAGGTCTGCTGAAGGTAGCTTGGACCTACATCCCCCTC